CAGACAAAGCACCACGCGCGGGGCCCAGGATCGGGTGCTGCGGGGGCTGTCACAGGGGCTGTGGGTGGGGGTTGTCCCTCCCTCTGGCGGCGGGACAGCTGCTGCCCACAGACCAGCGCCAGCAGGACCCACCTCGGCCCCAGGGCAAGGCTCCTGGAGGCGGGTCACCTCCCCGACCCCAGCCCCCGGGCCTTCTCCAGCTCTCCAGGCGCCTGTGCAGGACGTCGGGGTCCCGGTGAGGACGGCTCCACCCCACGTGCATCCGGGCCCTGGAAAGGCTCAGGGCCAGAGCCCCAGGGCGCCCATCGGCTGGGGGACCCTTCCTGGCACTGGCAGCGCCAGCCAGCAGGCCCAAACCGTTTGGTGGTGAAGAAGGCATTTGGGGGGCACATAGGCAGGATTAGGAATTTCTTAGAATTGGGGTCCACGGAAAAGCGCGGGGCTGCAGCCTGGGAGAAGGCACACTTCCATAACCCCAGGAAGCAGGTGCAGTGACATCCCCACAAGACAAGGAAGCAGCAGCAGTTAATTTACAGAAGACAAGCACACTAGAAGTACCAGGAAAGGTCTATATTTACAAAATAAAGAGAAGGAAGAAAGCCCTTCATTCAGATGGAAAAGAAGAAAGCCCAGGGGAATGGAAGGACTAGAAGGAGGAGGGCCTTAGGAATCACTATAGTAACCAATTCAAGGGGAATACGGACCGATCAGAGGGGATGTGAGGGCACAGGAACCGCAGCCTTTATAAACCACAGAGAAAAGGAATTCAGTGGGACCCGTTCCCCCCTCTCTACTTGGAAGTTCATTCTGTGGGACTCTTACCCCTCCTTACGTGGGAGTTTGCCAATAAATCTTCATCTTTGCTAGACCACTTTCTGTCCGTGGATTAATTCTTCGATTCCAGCGGACAAAGGATCCGGGTTCCAGTCCCAAAATTCGGTATCAGTGGGAGGATTGGTCCTTCCTCTCAGGGTTTCTGTCCATTGGGACTGAGCCCTCTGTCCCTCCCAGGCCACTGGCTGCCCCTAACCCT